CCGCTCTCGTGGATGCGCATGTGGCCGAATAGGCCCATGCGATGCCGGAAGGTGCGAGGGCATTGTGGGCAGTGGAGGCGAGTGCGATGGGTGTAGGTTGGTGCTCCAGGCACTGGTTCACCAGTCTCTGTGCGATGGATTCGCAAGTGACCGACCAGGCCGATGCGTGAGGTGAAGGTGCGGTCGCAGTGAGGGCAGGTGGGTGTGGTTGCGGTTGCTGTGTCGTGGTTGGCGATGTGTGAGACGGCAGCCTGAACGGCCACCGCTGGGGCAGTGGAGGAGAAGGAGGAGGATGGAAGTGGTGGTGCAGAAGGAGTGTCAGAGTTAGTTGGCGGAAGAGAGGACGAGGAAGAGGCGGGCGCGGGGACGATGGCTGGAGCAGTTCGAGAGGTGCAGTTGGTTCGAAGATGTGCAACAAGTCCGATTCGTGCCCGGAATGTCCGTTGACATCGAGGACACGTAGGGAGAGGTTGTGCGGCGGCGTTGCGTATTGGGCGAAGTTGTGATTTGCTGACTTCGCGTTTCACTTTGGCGGCGGCGATGCGGTTGGCTTCGTAGATAGCAGCGCCCGTCTTCACTGTTCTCCTCCATGTCGGACGATCGCGGGCGAGCTCTTCCCAGTTGGTCGGGTTGATGTGCAGGCGCTTCAGGGAGGACTTCAGAGTATCTTTGTAACGGCGAATTTGGCCTCCTTGACGACGAGAACCCGTCGCGACGTCTCCGTAGAAGAGTCGTTTGGGTAGTCGCTCGTCGTCCATGCGCACCAGATGGCCGCTCCAGCGCAGCTGCATTTGTCTCAACATGGAGTAGATGCTCCGAATTCCCGTCCGTTCCAGCACTTCGGTGTCGGGGATGCGGTCCTGCTAGTTCAGCCTCAGGATGCGGCGGAGACAGCTGAGGTGGAAGTGGTTTAGTCGACGTGCCTGCCTCGTGTACACCGTCCAGGTCTCCGCTCCGTACAGTAGCGTCGGCAGGATGACGGCCTTGTACATCTTCAGCTTTGTGCTCAGTTGGAGACCATGACGATTCCAAACTGTGCTTTGGAGGCGACCGAAGGCTTGACTGGCTTTCGAGATTCTGTTGGCGACTTCGTCGTCGATCTTGGTGTTGCGGGAGAGCGTGCTGCCCAGGTACGGGAAGTTCTCTACCACTTGCAGTTGAGTCCCACTCACGTTGATTTGCGGCGCGTTGGGGGCTGTGGCTGAGCTGGGAGGCGGCTGATGCATCACCACCGTCTTCTGCGTGTTGATAACCAGCCCAAAGTTCTCGCAGGCGGCGGAGAATAGGTCCATACTCCGTTGCATCTCCGCTTCGGAGGTGGTGTTCAGGGCGCAGTCGTCGGCGAAGAGGAGTTCGTGCACGGTGGCTGTGGATACACGCGATTGGAAGTTCATGCGCCGGCGATTCAGGAGATGACCGTCCGTTCTATAGGCG